GCCTCACGCCCGGGGCGGCGCGCGGGGGCGGCCGGCACCTCCCTCCCGAGGCTCCCACCGCGCCGGGACCCGCAGGCGCCCCAAGGTGCGGCCCCGACCCCCAAGATGCGGCGCGGCCCCAGCGCCCTCAGCTCGGGGTGTGGCCTGGTCTCCCCTGGGAACCCGGCCCCGCCGGCCTCGTCCCGCTTGGGGGCCGGGGGATCCCCATCTGGGGAGGCCCAGGCTCGGCGCCGCCTCCCAGGCGGCCTCCGAGGGCCTGGAGACACTCCCGGGACAGGAGGCCCCGCCCGAGACTCGGGGTCCCGGAATCAGGTCCAGGAGGCCCCGCCCCAGGGACTCGGGGTCACGGAACCAGGTCCAGGAGGCCCCGCCCCAGGGACTCGGGGTCCCGGAACGAGTCCGGTCCCCCGCGAGGGGCGCAGCCATCAGGAGGGGGAGCCCTAGTGAGCGGTCGAAGGGACGGTCTCAGAAGCCCGGCATCTTGATGATGATGACTCAGGGATGCGAGGGACCAGAACCTCGAAAATAATAGCCTGAAAGAAAGGAATTATATTGAAAAATAAGGAAAAACGCCGCTCCCTGAGGATACGGAGCAAAGAAATGCCTCTCATAATAACCTCTGCTTCGGAGGCGCTGGGTAGGTGCCCAGGCTGGTGCTAGGGGTGTCTGCGCGTTATCTTAGGTCGCCCTCGCTGGACCCTTTGGAGCGAGCCCGGTCCCTCTTCCCATTTCACGGAGGAGAAATCGAGGCCTCCAGGGGTGGAGTCGTCGCCGGGTCATTACAGCAGGATCGGGTCCAGGGAGTTCGGGTAAAGCAGTCCTTCCTCGCAAGCGAATCCAGGGGAAGATGGTAGCGAGGAGCCGTCCCGTCCCGCGGGGATTGGAAGAGACCCAGGAGCCCGCAGTTTTGCAATTCCCCTTTGTCTTTTTCTGCTGGGGAAAGGACATGTTTCTCCCTAATCTATTTAGAAACAGAATTCCTAATCCAAAAGGGTTCCAGTTGTTTATTTTTCCTTGATCCAGACTTGCGGCCCATCTTTCCAAAAAGGTGTTTGGCTTGCCTTTCTTGGATTCAGTGATCCTGCTCCATCAGACTTACCTGTTACGGTGAGACCTTTCCCCAGCGCTAACTCCAGCTCACAGTGCTCCACTGCTGACCCGACCAGGGAGCGGTCATTTCCTGCTGGACAGGTTTGCCCTAAGCGCTGTCTCCCAGTGAATGTGTAATCAGAGGAGACCAGCCCAACTATTTAGAATAGTGGTTCTTACACATTTTGGTCTCAGAACCTCTTTTCACTCTTAAAAATTATTGAAGATCTCAAAAACTTTAGTTTGGGTAGATTTAGATATTGATATTTACCATATTAGAAATTAACTGATAAAATTTATTACTTCATTTTAAAATACTTATAATAAACCTATTACATATTAACATTATGTGTTTTAGTAAAAAAAAAAAATCACTATGTAGTCCCAAATTTAAAAAGAATGAGAGGACTGGCATTGTTATTATTTTGTTGTTAATCCTCACCCAAGGATATTTTTCCCATTGATTTTAGAGAGAGTGGAAGGGGGAGGAGAGACACAAAGAGAGAAACATTGATATGAGAAAGAAACATACATCGGTTGCCTCCCGTACCCACCCCAACTGGCGATCCAACCTTTTGGGGTAGGGGACGACGCTCCAACCAACTGAGGTACCCAGCTAGAGCATCAGGCACATTTTTTTTTATTTTAATTTTTTTATTGTTTTATTGCTTAAAGTATTACAAAGAGTATTACATATGTCTCCTTTTTTCCCCGCCCTTGACAATCCCCTGGCCTCCCCTATCCCCCAGTGTCTTATGTCCATTGGTTATGCTTATATGCATGCATACAAGTCCTTCAGTTGATCTCTTACCCTCCATCAGGCACACACTGGTAATCGGGGAATAAAAATCTCAAGCGTAGAACTTTGTCACATGTTTTGCCAGCTCCCGGTGTTTCTTCAATGCTTGACTTCTCAAAAAACAAATTTTCTGGAAACTAGCTTTATTTTTCCCCCCTTTGGTAGCACATGGTAGTGAAGAATAACATGCCCACCAATACACGCTGGTCCCACACTGCTTTGATTCATGCTAAGGTTTCTGTAGTGTTGCCCACCATTGCTTTGGCACCATCAGTACAAATGTCAACAGTGAAAAATGAAAATGGTATTAGACCATTAGTATTATTATAAAATTAGTTATACTATTATTAATAAAATTATGAAAATAGTGTTCCCTTTACAGACCCCATGAAAGGGCCTTTGGGACTTTCAGTAGTTTGCAAACCACAGTTTGAGAACTGTTGATTTAGAGCCATTTAAGACCATTAGGTCAGCCTTGAGCTAAGAAGAATAAATAAGTATCTGCCTATATGGAAATTAGTGCCAGAATTAAAAACTCATCAAAACAAAGCTCATTGTTTAGTTTATTCTGCTTCACACTAGAATAGTAGCTAAACTATATTTAGCTTTACATTCCTTATATTCTTTATATGACATCTCATTTAATCCTCACAATAACTCTATATTGTTAATATGTAATCCCAATATATATACTACTTGATACTATGATGCTAGTGCTTTAGGCCTGACTATTTACTAGAGGCCCAGTGCATGAATTCGTGCACAGGTGGGGTCCTGCGCCTGGCCCCAATCGGGCGGATTGATTGGAGCTGGGCCCTATCAGGAGGATGAGAGGGGCGGCGGGAGGTTGGCTGGCTGCCCCCCACCCCCGAATGGGGTGTGGGGGGAGCGATCAGGGGCCAGTGGCCTGGGGGAGGGGCCATGGGTGTTTGGCCAGCTGGCCCTGCCCCTGATCAGAGTAGGGAGGCCCATCAGGGGTGGGGCCAGCCAGGGGGAGGGGCTACAGGAGGTTGGCTGGCCCGCCCACCCCCCATCTGGCAGGTTCGCTGGCTGTAGTGAGCATCATAGTGACCGGTCATTATGGCGTTCTAGTCACTGGCTTTTTATATATATAGATTAATATATATTTTTACTGATTTCAGAGAGGAAGGGAGAAGGAGAGATTGAAACATCAATGAGAGAGTACCATGAATTGGCTGCCTCCTGCATACCCCTACTGGGTATGGAGCCCACAACCTGGGCATGTGCCCTTGACATGAATCGAACCTGGGACCCTTCCATCTGTAGGCCGATGCTCTATCTGCTGAGCCAAACCAGCTAGGGGTTGACTGACTCTTAATTACTATACCTCACTTCACATTTTTATTATTTATATATTCCTTTAAATATATTTGTATTAGTTTTGCTTTTGTACCTGGATATGCTGGTTGAACTTGGATATGACTAATCTTAATCTACTATGGATAGATTTCTATGGATGGAAATTTTCTTTCTAAGAAATCCTGTTTCCAAATATGGCAACACTCATTGAATTTCCCCAAGTTGTTTTATTAACATCTCGATCTGCAAAAACTGGAAAGTGTAAAAGACAAAACATTTTCCAGAAAATTTGTTTTTTGAGAAGTCAAGCATTGAAGAAACACCGGGAGCTGGCAAAACATGTGACAAAGTTCTACGCTTGATATTTTTATTCAGCGATTACAAGTGTGTGCGCATTTTTTTCAAGTGGTATATTTTATTTATGAACTAGTGGTGGGAACATGAAAGTCTCAAAATTTTCTCAAATGTAATCAAAAGCTTTTTTAAAATATATTTTGGAGATGAATTGATTCAACATTTTGCAAAACGTGGTGTGTATACTGAACTTGATTTTAAATAATATTTTTATTGATTTAGGAGAGGAAGGGGGAGAGAGAGAGAAACAATCAATGATGAGAGAGAATCATTGATCAGCTGCCTGCTGCACACCCATACTGGGGATCAAGCCCGCAACCCGGGCATGTGCCCTGACCAAGAACCGGACTGTGACCGCCTGGTTCATAGGTTGACCTTCAATTACTGAGCTGGCAGGGCTGAACTTGATTTTTAAGGGGAAAACATTAACTTCAGTGGCTGGTGCTTTAGCAGACACCCTTTTCTGCCTGGCATGGGAGTGTGCTTTCTCTGCTACCCATCAGGGTGCCTGAGCTCGCCCCACTGGGGCCCCTTCTCAGTCCCACCTAAAGTTGCAGCAGCCCCCAACCCCCATCTCTAGGTTCTCACC